GTGTGCGCGAGATATCGATATGGTAGTAAACATGAACACATCACTACTACGTCAATATCGCACGCATACATACTCACAAATCGTTGATAAAACAGCGAATTTTTGGAGTTTGATCTCGAGTTTAGGATCCCCTTAAGGCGATGCCAGAAGGAAGAAAATATCGACACATTACAGTTTAGTAGATTTCTCCGAATTGGCGGAACGGAATTGAAAATCCTTTTACAGGGTTGAAATAAACATGAAATTGTGGTGTTAATTAACGGTCTAATTTGTAGTAAAATCGGAAAAAATTAAAAAATTACCTTTTTTCGGGTCGTACAGCTGATACCTAACCATAACCTGACAAAAACATTTTATTAGTGTAAAAGTTCTGTAGCTCATATGTACAAAATGCTTACGTTTATGCAGATTACATGAACGAATAATACAAAGCCTTTTGAGCTACGATTGAAAGCGTAGAAAAAAGATATCAACTGAACTGCAATTTGTGGTAATTCGTACGCATAACCAAAATACGGAATGGTAAAAACAGTAAAAATTACGTCTAGTAGTAAGTGTCGGATTATGCAAGAGATGGCGTTTCAATAAGTTAGGTAAGGACAATGTACGTGTTTGTCTGAGACAGAAGATATTGTAAGAAGATATTGTAAGAATTTAGAGGTACCATTGAAATTGAATAGACTATTTTATCGACTTCGTGCAAATTTTTCGGACTTTCCGGCATTGTCTTAATCTGGATAACTTGTAGAAATCTTTCCTTAGTTAAAATCTGATATTTTTATTATTATTTAATGTTATAACGATACAAATAAGTTTTTCGAAAATGCATTAACTTGAAAGCGCGCGATATCTATATCAATGACTGCGTTCAAGAGCACTTAGTAAGCGCTTTTCGTTGATTGACTATAATTTTAGCTCTAGAAAAATTAGTCCTAATTTGTAACGAAAAAAATTTTCAACAGTCGCAAAATAATCATGAACGCAGCCAATGATTTAATAGTTATACATAACTTTGTTATGACAAAAATTAATCTCTGTCTGTTATAATATCTTGTAAATTGTAATTATAACATATCATAATTCTGCTTTATAATAAAAGGAAGAAATAAAAGAAGGAATAAAGTTCTGATTTTTGAAATTGAAATATTTGGCGTTTATGATTATTTGATCTTGTGCCTATAATTATATCCCGATATTTCATCGATTTTTAAGAATTTACGTTTCTGATTACTTTATTGATTTTCGTTATTTCTTATTTTCTTAATTTGAACTCCTGAATTCTTTTGCTTACTAATATATTTTCTTTTAAATCCAAGGCAAAAAAGATGCGATAAGATACATTTGAAACCGACAATTTACAATTTGTACTCGAAAAGTGCAGCACATTTGCACACATTATTTATCTTTCTGGATGCGTCGTACAAATAAATATTTTTACAAGATTTATAATATATATTTTCTTAAGTGAAATTTCAAAGTTACAAGTGAAACCTAAAAGGATCGTTAATCAAAATTTATTGTTCTATTAAAGCATAAATTGCAATTTTGATTAAAATCTGTAATATTCACTTTATGGTTTTTGTATACAAGATATGATATAAATTTAACAGTGACATAAATTTATTAAACATTTTATTATTAATACAGTATTGTTATTTTATAAACGTCCTGCAATGGTTTAAATATCTATTTAAATTATTGTTCCGAAAAATCAGATTTCGTAATAAAATATACAAGTATACTAATTGTCTTGTGTCATAAGGTTTTGGACCGTCTCCGCGTAGTCTATAATGAAGTCTCCGAAGTGTCTGGTAACTCATTATATGGATGACGTATAACATCAGCTGATACATGGGACCCCCGGGTACTATAAACGCCAATTAGGATACAACGTCAGATTTCTTACTTATACTGCCTCTCAACACGAACTTGCCTTTTCACTTCCCTCATTGCTCGTTTTCGTAGGGAAAAGCGAACAGTTCTTTTTCGAAGATAAGAACAAGTATCCACATCATTAAATTTTATAGACTGATGTATTTCATTCATTGCGATATCTCCTTTTTTTTATATTGCTCATTATCTTTAAGTCAACGTCGAGTATCTCTCGTATTCGATCTTTCGTGTTTAAAAGTAAAAAAAATATCGACATCGTCATTGTATGAAATAAAATAAATTAATAAAATATTACTTCTCTGTTTTGTATTGTATCTTTTTTCACTTAATTTGTTTAATAATTTTAATGAATATCGAATTTTTCTCCTAATTTTTTAATTTTATTTCTACAACGATATGCGCTATTAAAAGCACAAAAAATTTTATTGAGGAGAAAGATTGTGATAAGTATTGTTTAGTAACTTGATGATGAAGCTTTTAATATCTTTTTACTGTCAAGATTTCCGAGATTACAATTATGATTCTCATATACAATAAAAAGATCGTATCGATAACTGAATGTACACAATTATTGTTTCTACGCAATGCGAATGTAGAAAATAAGAATTCCAACGCAGGCTGAACTATTATTCATTCCAAAATGCTGCAACATACAACGTGTATGTGCGTGCGTGCACTATCAACGGTACCGTAATTAGATTTTATGTATCCTATATAGGCACCGTTTTTATTTTTTAAAGAGGAAAAATAAAATAAATACGAATCAAAACAAAAAAGGGCTATAAGCCTAAGCCGGATGTTTAATAATGTTCCATATAACAAAGATTAGTCGAATATAACAATAACAGACATTTTGAGAAAAAAAGACTTACTATAGTATGACTATTTTACAATGTAACTAATTTATAACTTTAACTACTATCTAGTTCTTTAATCATACGAATGTTAAAGCTACTCTTGTTTTAATCATGTATAGAAAGGAATATGTTATACATTTCTAATACACTTCGAGTAAAATCGAGGCATATATGGATAAGGAATCGAACCGATCGCCAATTACAAATCAACGTGCTCGCACACTGAGCCATTTGTTAACCACACAAAACAAATAAGATTTAATTGTTTATAAATAATTTTTGTATAGGTTCACAAGAAATATACAAGTTGAAAATAATTATTTTAATAAAATTTTCTAGCTTTTGTTTCAACATTAATTATAGCATGATTAATATTTTTAGCAATATTATATTCTATCGAATTATCGCACAGATTAGATAATCGTTCTTTTCTACTCATAGATCTTAAATAGTTTTTAATTGATTTTGATTTTAACTTACTGAAGCCTTTCTCACAAGAAGCAATCGAAGCCAGAAGAGTGAAAAATAATCGTAAAGCAACGCTGATATTCGGATATGACTCAATTAATCCAAAGTCACGATAGAAAGAGTATGATATTAAGCGGAGTTGCAGTTTTAATGTTTTGTGTTAGTATCAAAGCTTTAAACTTAAATTTTTATTCTTTTGCCAATTCTATTCCAGGATTTCCTGTCGTCTTGGGTCGTGAACAAGTGCTCCTGTTGTCTCTGCTTAGTTACGGTACTGACTATCAGGCAACTGTTTCATTTACAATTAGTACGGAAAAATATGGTGACCTCATAATACAATCGCGAGATGTTATGGGAAAAGAAAACGCAAAGACGAAAATACAGTCAAACCTCGATAATTCGAACCTCTACAAGAAAATCTCTATAAGACGAAAATTTCGTTCATTCCGTTCCGCTCTATTGCGGAAAATCTCCCATCTCTATAAGTCAAAATAAAACCTGCCTTAACTCGAATTATTTGTGTCAGACATTTAGATATATTCTTTTACCTCTGCAACTCGAATTTAAAGTAGTCAGACCTCTACAAGTCGAAGTTCACCTCTATAAGTCGAACTTCTATTGTCGCTGCCTCTATAATTCGAAGTATAAGCTATGTGTAACCATGAGTAATAGCCTGGTATTTTGTTTTATAATTATATTTATTATATGTATGCAATAAATAATTTAGTGTCAAATATTGATTTTTTTTCTTTAAAAGCCATTATAATTGGAAAATTATAAACTCTCGTACAAAGCCTTCGTAAGTCGAATTTTCATATTTTAATTCTCTTTTACTCGAATTTCGATAAGTCGAAAACTCTATAACTCAAAGGGTTTTTCTCTTTTCTTGAGATTTGAGTTATCGAGGTTCGATTGTATTGTAGAGTGTAGGTGATGAAGTAATATATATTGCACTCTTGAAAGCGCAACCGCTTTATTGTAGGTCTTCTCTTTTTCAGCTAAAACTGCTCACACCCGGCAATTTGTAGTTTTCATTTTGGTATTACCTTCAATTGTCTCATACCCACGGCAGTAGTCCTCTCCCCTTCGAAAGAGCTAGGAAAGTTCTGTTCATTCTGTTCGTCCGTAAATTACCTACCTTTAATTCGAATCGCTTTTTTATGCACAGAACTTTGTCTTTGTTACTAGTCGAGTTTTCATTAATGAGATCGTGACACGAATGTGTGATTTCAACTTTAGCGCAATAAATCCGACAGGAGTGCAATATATTTCTCCATTCTATTCGGATCATCGAATAAATTGCACATTTATCCTCTATAATATTTTCATCTTTGCGTTTTTTTTTCCGTAACATCTCGCGATTATATTAATGAGGTCACCATAATTTTCCGTGTGCTATTATAATAAATCAAACAATTGTCCAAACATAAAATTGAAACAAATACGTAATACGCATGTATATATGTATATGTTAGAGCATTACAAGAATTCATATATTTTTTTATGTAGGGGAGACCGGAGACAAAAGTAACATTTTGAATTTAAAGTCTTATAACAGTTAAATTATAATACTTACATTTAAAAAACCTATATTTTTAGATGTAGAATTCATTTAAGTTATACAAAATTTTCTTATGTTCAATCTTGTAATGTAACTAGGAAAAAAGTTATTACTGTTTAAACACTATGAGGAATACTGTTACAACTATCCCCAGCTCTAGGAACGGTATAGTAACAGTAGAAGGGGACGATTGTATTATATTATTTATAGGTAAACACTTAGCTATTTATTAAGTTTTATGCAATATAATTATATATAATCATATATGTTAATGTTATATGGATATATATATATATATATATCCATATTAAATATATATATAATATATATATATATATCCATATATGTTATATGTTATATGGATATATATTAATGTTATATGGATATATATATATATATATCCATATTAAATATATATATAAAATATATTTAATAAAAAAAAATTAAATATATATATAATATATATTTAATAAAATTAACTACAATAAAATAAAAAGGATAAAATCTACATAAAATCGGAAAAAAGCTCTTTTTCTTTCTAATAAGTTTAAATAACACTGAAAAAAAACACTTAAATAAAACTAAGCAAATCCGGACAATTGTAACGCTAGAACCGTCTCCAGGCATCGATGTTACAATTGTCCCCCAATAATATTTTATAATTCGAAGTAAAGTTTCAAAATAAATATACAGATGAAAATCAATTAAAATATGCAAATCATCAACATAAAGGATCACTACAACCTTTTTAGATAATATATTATAGCTTCACCATTAAAAACAAAAATATTTTAAATTTTGTGCATATAATTAAACTTACTTGACGAATGAAGAAAGTATTTTTTGCTCTTGCACACGTGCACGTTTCGTATGGACCGATAAGGAACTAACATACCAATGTCGGTCTGTCTAATGATTTTTGTCTCACTGCCACATGTACCTATTATAGTTTGAAAAATATTCACGATGTTAGAACTGTACCCTGTTACTTTTGTCACCGGTCTCCCATACTTATTTATTCATAAAGAATTGTATCGTTATTTTAATAAACAAATACGTATAACTTTTATTAAGGTAATTAATTGAAAAAAAATATAGGTACATATTTGTGATTTTTTAATATTTTATATAATTTAGCAATATCATTTCTTTTTATTTTAAGATTGTAAGATTTAAAGAGCGCGAGTTTTTCTATTACCTAGTGTAATGTTTGAGTGAAAATGAAAAATGTGACAAAGAAGAAAATCACAAAGAGAAGTGCCAACGTGCTTTGAAATAAACGCTGAATAAACATATTTATTTAATTCTACGAATTAATATTTCGTTTTCGCAATAATTCAGTCATTCTTTGAAATTTTTAAAAACAGGAAAAGGCTCTAAAATGACATAAATGCTTCTAATTAAATTTATTTAACGTAAATAATATTGAAAATATTTATTTTTAGAACAGAATTTCTGTTACAGAGAAAAGTATGGGTTTATATATACGTTAAGATGTGCTCTCTTAGCTTTTCAACACTTGTAGTCAGCTGAAATTGAATTGTTCTTAAGTAAACGCAAGTCCTCAGTTGACGCAAAGACGTTTATGACTACGTGATCAAAGTCATGTACTCTTAATAATGGATACTGTCGAAAGCAACTATTTCATTATATTTCCCGTGCGTGATTAACAACTTCGCAACTGTGTAATTCTTGCATTGCGAACTTTCTGAATGCAATTTAGAAATTTAATAAGGAAGTTAGGCGAATATTTAACAATGAATATTTAAATCGATGTTGTAATGTACAAAAGAAAAGCATTTTAATTTGATAAGAAAATAATGAAGATGTGAAATAAATGTGGAAATTAGAATCATTAAAGTATGAGTTTGACTTTCACAAAAAAAGTGAGAAGTGAAGTACAAATTAGAAATAGAATAAACTATAATTTACTCAGTAAATGGAATTATACTAATTTACTAATTGCTCCTTTGTTTTAAAATGTAAATGGAATAAACGTAATAAATTGTAAAATCATGAATGTAATAAATTCTAAAACTATAATTTATAAAATAAAACGTTTAAGTTTTTTTAGATGAAAAATATATAATTTGTACAATATTTTCTTGATTTACGTAAAATTTAATAAAATTAAAATTAATTAAAATATTTAAATGTCCTTTATGTTTTTTCATTCAACTATAATTCATTAATTGTTTTGTATTAATTTTCACGTTTTTATTTCTATATTCTCACATCGCATACACGTCATCACGTTGTTTTTTTTTCTTGCAATAATTATTCTCAAATACTAACTTGATGCTGTTTATTATGCTTTCAGCAACCATGCATTACATTAATTACACAGAGTATGGGGGTTTTGTTTCGTTCGGGTTTTCACAAGGCTGTCGCAGTACTCGCAACACTTCTCGTCTATTACAGCTGCAGTCGACACATACTCAAAACTACTTTGCATGAATAAAGTAAATTGCGCATTTTAGCTGAACATATAACATGACGGCAATGATGACGTTCTTGAACCCTGTTAACAAAAAATCATCTGATCACTTTGAACCAAAGAATTGGAATGAAATTATCTTACATATAAAAATAACTACGATGCAACTTGTGATGTACACAAATTATTATTTTTTCGTATCTTTTTCTATTAATTTAAAAGAGATGTCCGAGAAGTAAAATCAGTAAAAGAGATGTGCAAAAATGTCAAAGACATGTACTAGTAATTACTGAATTATCCGAAGACTTTTCTGATCAATCAAGTTTCAGAAAAAAGCAAATGGATAATACTTATTTATCTCTCTCTTTCTCTCTCTCTCTCTCTTTCCCTCCCACATTTATAAATTATAGCAATATTTGTCTACAAGAAAACATGACTAAGTATTTTCCTTCGATTTTAAATATGTTTTCAGATATGTTAAAATAGAGATAAAAATAAGAGATGTATTTTTCTATAAGTAAAAACCTGCCTTAAAATAAAATCAATCTTTTCTTTCTACGTTGAAACCGCCCGAGATGTAAAAAAATGTTTTAAATAAAAATATTAGGATTTCAAATTCGCTGTACAATGGTGTACATTTGAACTTTTGAAAATTAAGGAGATGGGGATATATGTATATTTTAAAAAATTATGACATTTTCACAAATTCAAATGCATCCGTAAAAATTTAAACCCACTTGAAATTGTAAAAAATATCTAGAACATTTTTTTTATTCCTTTGACAATTTTTACACAATATTTACTTAGAAAGAAAAGAATTTTTTTTCAGGGGAGGGTTTCACTTTCTTTATGTGCGAAACTGCTTTTATAAAAAAAAATACGTGTCTTTTATTTTTGTATTTTAATATATACGAAGCTTATTAAATTAGAAGTGATTGTGTTCTTTTGTTAGTAAAACTTTAAGGTTATTAAAATAAGATAATTAAATTTTAGGATTATTTAAAAAATGTAAAATTTCTGTTATTAGTTAATACACTGCTCAAAAAAATTATGGCATAGAAAAATTTTGAGCAAAAATTGGTCAACTTTGATTAACGGTAACTCCGCGAAAAATCATCGTAAAATGATGAACTATTTTTCAAATGAAAGCTTGAAATCTCTACTTTAAGATACTGTGAGTCGATTTTTAATTTAATGCACTCCTGTTGCTGTAAACTCTTAAATCTGAGAGCATGTTTGCCACACTGAAAATTGCAAAGTTTGAACGAGTGCACGGACTTACTAAAATTTTTTCCGGGGGTGCAGTTTCCAGCGTCATAAAGTTGGAATCTTTCTCTTTAATTTGAAAAAAACTGAGTCGACAAGGCACACAGGGGATA